CGCCATGCAAAACGAGGAAACAAAACACTTTCTTCCTTGAATCACTACTCAATACGATCAGAAGAAACAGTCAGTTGCAACTTCAAGGATTGTGAAGATATCAGTCTACCAAGGAAAGCCAAGTGAAGGCTTGACCACACTTCCAAGAAGGCCTGTCTCCAATTTACAGGTTTGTTTTGACACCATTGTGTGGCTGTCGAGTGAAGAAGTGCTAGGCACTGTTTAGAGTATGTCTAGTCTAACGGAGAGAAGGATAAGGGGCGACATAACTGCTTTACAATATTTAAGGGGTTGACACAGAGAAGACAGGGCCCACCCACTCTCTAAAGCACCTGAAGGCAGAACAAGAAGCAATGGGTCATCAAAGAGAGAAGCAATCTGGAATTAAGGAGAAACTCCCTGACAGTGGGAACAATTAACCGGTGGAACAGCTTGCCACCAGAAGTTGTGGGCACTTCATCCCTGGAGGTTTGTAAGAAGAGACTGGACAGCCACTTGTCTAAATTGGTATAGGTTTTCCTGCTTGATCAGGGGGTTGGATTACAAGACCTCTGAACTCCCTTCCAGCCCTATGATTCTATGTTATATGTTCTAAAAGGTAGGTAGGTAGATAGATAGATGGATAGATAGACAGACAGACAGATAAAGAGAGAGAGAGAGAAAGAGATTAGATAGATAGATGATAGATAGATAGATAGATAGATAGATAGATAGATAGATAGATAGATAGATAGATAGATAGATAGACAGATAGATAGAGACAGAGATTAGATAGATGGGTGGATCGAGAGATTAGATAGATAGATTATAGACAGACAGACAGACAGATAGATAGATACAGACAGGTATAGATATAGATGATAGATGATAGAGATAGATAGAGATAGATAAGATCACTATAAATATATAGATGATATAGATATATATAAATGAGATGATGAGGATTTGGACTATCCTAAGCCATCATAAGGAAATGACAGAGAAACATGGAGGAAGCAAGCAAGATTTTGAACTGTGTCTACTTTTCATTACAATCTTAATTAGAATAGAGAAGTGGACCATTAAATGTTCCACAGAAAGATCTCCAGAAGGTTTGTGGATCAAGGAACAAGCAAACCAAATTTGTCTCCAGATGTAAACAACAATTTAAAATATAGAGTTAAAACTGAACCCCTTCCCATGGTAGTTGACAGGAGAAATACCATGACATTCTCAAGAGAGTTAGTGAACCAGATGTCTGGACTTTCCATGTCTAGAAGAGAAGCTGTCATCACAACCCAAAGTTGAGAAGACTTCGACCATCCAAAACATTTTATTACATCTTCTACAGTTTAACAACCTCCTCAGAGGCTGGTCCCCTTCTTAGCATTGGCCATAAACATTTTCCATTCACCAGGAAGTTGAAAATTGTATCATTTATTGGGATAACTGCATAAAGCATGCACAAGGTAGCTTATTCGCTGAGATACCCTCTTACAATACAACGAGAAACAGATTTAAAGATCAACAAAAAATACCCTGTAAAAACATTACACCCTACAATGTAGTAAGATGATAGCAGAATGATACAATGCTTGACTTTAAGGGCAATTCACCCATGTTGAACTTACAGCATAAGGATAGTTCAACCTCCATATCTTCAGGCCAAATCACCGAATTGATTTGCTACATCAGATCCAGTCAGGGGCCTTCAAATCAATTTGAAGATCTGAAGGACTTTTGGCGCATGCTTTTACCCAATCAAATCAATGCATCCTGGCAGCTTGAATGGACTGTTCAAATCAATTTGTCAAACTGAATTTAATCTTCGGTGGAGCCACACACCCATATAACATCCAAAAGATCAAATCAGTCAAATCACGAATGGATAGAATTACCTTTCTTGAAATTCTATCTTGAATTTCCAGAAACTACAAAACATTTCCATGCAGGAAGAAGAGAAAATTCAATCTTAGGGATCATTGTAACTATGCGTGAAAGGTCTTCCAGTCCAATCCCCTGCTCACCCAGGAGAGCCTAAACATTTCAGACAAATAGCTGTCCAATCTCTTCTTGAAAGCCTCCAGTGATGGAACATCAACAACTTCTGAAGACAAGCTGTTCCACTAATTGATTGTTCTTACTGTCAGGAAATTCCTCCTTAGTTCTAGGTTGCTTCTCTCCTCGATGAGTTTCCACCCATTGCTTCTTCTCCTGCTTTTTGGTGCTTTGGAGAATAGCTTGACTCACTCTTCTTTGTGGCAGCCCCTCAAATATTGGAAGACTTCGATCATGTCACCCCTAGGCCTTCTTTTCACTAGACTAGACATACCTAATTCCTGCAACCTTTCTTCATATGTTTTAGCCTCCAGATATTTTGTCTTCTTCGGTTGCTCTTCTCTGCCCTCTTTCCAGAGTCTCACTCTCTTGTTTACATCGTGGCAACCAAAACTGGGCACAATATTCCAAGTATGGTCTTACCAAGGCATTATAAAGTGGAATTGACACTTCACGTGATGTTGATTTCTATCCCGCTGTTACTGCAGCCTGGGATTCTGTAACTAAAGTTGCTTAGTGTAGAAGATACAGACTAAGAACTAACAGAATTCCGAACCTCGGAGTTTGTTTTGAATAATAGAACGCACAACCCAATTCACAGCCTCTCCAACCCTCAGAATTAACTTCTAATTACCTCTTATTGCTCTTCTTTCAGCAATACGGCACATGTGTATGCATAAAAGAGTCTGCTTTTATTGCTGCATTAGTGAAACAAGCAGCTCAGAAATCCTTGCCAATCTTCTGCAAATCAGCCCATTATAACCTTCTTTCTGTTTTCTTTTTTCCCAACTGTGCACCATAAAAAGGCCTCACCAATCTTGTGATTTAGAGCAGAGGTCCCCAGCCCCCGGGGCCAAGGCCTGTTCAAAACCGGGCCGTGCAAGTGATGAGCAAGCACGAACGCACGCAAACCTCCCCTTGCACGAGCTCACACATGAAGTTCCACTAGTGCAAGTGGAGGGCACTCGTACGAGCATTCTCTGCTCATCCGAGCGGAGCTTTGCACACAAGCTCTGCTCAAGCCCTCCTCCGCTGACACACAAAGCTCCATTCACACAAAGGGAGGATGCGCATATCCATTACTCACACCAATGGAGCTGTGCACATGTGTGTGTGCCTGCCACTCTCTCTGTCTCTCTCTCTCTGTCTCTCTCTCTCTGTCTCACACGCACACACACACACACACACCACGCCAAGCCCACCACCAAAGGTGGAAATGTTGAGGACCACTGATTTAGAGGGAGGCATCCTTGCAAAGCGAGCAATCCCAAAATTAGACCACTGTGGTTAGGTGGAGGGGAAGAAGAACTGCAGCTTACAACTGTAGAGAACTCCTCGAGACCTTTTTTGGTTCAAAAAGTTTAACTTCCTTCCTGGAGATCACCTAAAGAATGTTTTGTAAGGTAGAGGTAAAGGTACCCCTCGCACATACACGCTAGTCATTTCTGGCTCTAGGGGGTGGTGCTAATCTCCATCACAAAGCCGAAGAGCCAGCGCTGTCCGAAGACATCTCTGTGGTCATTTGGCCGGCATGACTAAATGCCAAAGGTGCACGAAACACTATTACTTTCCCACCAAAGGTGGTCCCTATTTTTCTACTTGCATTTTTACATGCTTTTGAACTGCTAGGTTGGCAGAAGCTGGGACAAGTAACAGGAGCTCACTCTGTTACGTGGCACTAGGGATTCGAACCGCCGAACTGCCGACCTTTCTGATTGACAAGCTCAGCCTCTTAGCCACTGAGCCACCGTGTCTCTTTAATAATGTTTTCATGGGACCATAAATATGGAAGGACTTTTTTTTGGCTACCTACAGCCAGCAACTGGGATTCCTCAACTGTCCAACAGATGTTATTTCGTGTGACTGATAGTGATCTATTTCTTGTTTAAAAGTAGCTTATCCAATGCACATTGTCTATAAGAAGGGGCTACTTGTAATGTTCAGCTCAAATCTAGTATAGTAACCTTAAACTTAGATCCATGTATCCTATCCCATTTGAAAGACAGTGGAGACATCCTTGATCTACAACAGCCCTTCTATAAGATTTATAATATATATTGATGTTTTTAAAGTTCTGACAGCAGAATTTTTATCTCGACAGGGAGGAAACACCACCCCTTTCTAGCACTGATGATGTGACCTAGTTTGATAATGAAACATCTGCAAGAAACATCTACCAAGCTCAGAGAGCACTAAGGGACCTCACAGTCCTCCTTCTCCTTCTTTCTTTGTAGTGTGACTACTACTGTGAGACAACCCAGGAGCAAAACACAGCACACAGAGGCTTAGACATTTAATAGTGCTTTATATACAAGACATATTCAGAAATATACGTGGTAGGCAAATGCTTGACAAGCAATCAATCTTCTTAAAATGGAAAACTCTGCAATGGAGACAGGACACAAGGAGAGAGAAATATGCCCTCTAATGGCTGCCTTATATAAACACCTCTTAAAGTGGTAAAACTTCTGTGGACCCATACATAGTCTTAAAACGGCAATACCTTTGCTGATTCAGCCTTACATTGCATCAGCCTTACAGCAGCTGGTCAGCTCTTAAATCTCAATACCTTAACACCCTTCACTCTGTAAAACCTACTCCCTTCTAGCACTGATGATGTGACCTAGTTTGTTAATGAAACATCTGCAAGAAAACTACCAAGGTCAGATAGCATCAAGCAACCCATAGTCCTTCTCCTACCTTTTTCCCATCCTTCTTCTTCTCCTCCACTCCACAAACCCCACTCCCTTCTAGCCCTGATGACATTACCTAGTTTGCTAATGAAACATCTGCAAGAAAACTACCAAGCTCAGAAAGCACCGCTGCATTTTCTACTCAAGCAGATACGGAGGGCACGCGCCATTTCTTCCAAAGCGCCAGACAGACAGCTCATATTCCAACCGGCGATAGCAATCTCCGGATCGCAAACTTGTGAGTACGATCGCATTGTTCATTCCTCCTACCTGTATATTTTATACCGGGTTGTAAATCCCTGACGATGTCTTTCCACAAAGGATAAGTAGCTCCGCGAATGGTGGAACGGCCCCCTGTCTGAAATAAGCCAATCAAATTCCTTGGAGACATGTTGGTTGGTCACGGCAGGCTCCTGGTGGGAAGGGTGGATAGTGATATGGTCCCATATAAAGAGGAAGTACAGGAACTCAGTAACCCGCCAGCTCATGCTTTTCTGCCTGCCTTTTCCCTCTCATTCTTGCGCCATTCCGTGGACTCCTGCAGAGAAAGAGAAGGAGCGGGAAAGAGAGAAAGTGTGAATGGGGGACATGGGCTTCGCCTGTCAGAAGGTCACCAAAGGTCATCTCATGACCCCAGGACACTGCAACCATCAGAACTTGGTTGAATCAGTTGTCGAGAGCATCCAAATGTAAGTCGTGTGGCCATGGAGATGCAGTTATCAGTGTGACTGGCCCTAAGTCACTTTTTTTCAGTGCCATTATAACTCCAGACAGTCACTAAATGAACTTATTAAGGTTCCGACTGAGCAATCCAACCAAGCAAGCACTGTTGAGGCCATCCAATCTCTGAATGCAAAATTTTATTGAGTACATCATTTTGGCACAGAATGAAAGCAAAAACAGCTCTGGCTAATTCCCGGGTAATTCAATATAAATTAAAGTATAGAATCCTCCCTTCCCCCCACCATTAGTGCAGGTCACATTGTCCAGGTGTTGGTATGGGAAAATCTCCACAACTCTGGCAGACACCTGCTGAAGTGTCCTTGGTTCCCCATGAGATGGTTTCTTGTTATTGTTTGGAATAAACATTCAAATCTCTCCCTCCCTTTCCCAGGGTCTGCTAGCAAGCTGTGGAACAGTAAAAGTGGAAGCAGCCTGAAGCTTGACAGAACTGTTGTAAGTTGAGGACTACCCATAGCAGGTATCTGCTGTAAAGTGCCTTAAAATACGACTTGTCGTTCAAATTGAAAGACAAAATCCAAAGTTTATAGAGACTGCAAGGAAGTTGGCAAGCAAATGAGACTCTTCAAAGAGTCTTGTCCAAATAGTTATGGCTGGATTCACGTGAAAGTTAGACTCACTCATCTTTGAGTTAGCAAACTAGCTGTAAGTTAGCTCTGCATCTGAGCAATTAAGAAACAAAAGGCAATTAAACATTGTCAGAAGCAATCAGGTAAATACGTTGAGTAATTAAGCCTATGATTTGTGGGCTGCTGCATCAGAATGTATGGATGGTGTCATTTAAAAAAAAAGCAACTTAAGGAAGAAAGGAAAACGTGGAAACTTATTCCAGAGACAACATCAAAATCTGTGGTGCTCTAATTGTGTTATCAGGGACCTGGTTTCAGATCCAGCTAAGTAACAGCAACTGTGCAAATCTCCTAAATTTATAATTTTATAGATTCAGTGGTGGCACAGAGAGGGAATAATAATTTTATATCAAAACATTTATTTACTTGCTTATTCAACCTGTCTGCCACGCTTCTCCTCTAACGTATTTTATGTAAACTTTATGAGGTGCTGCACTTATTTATGCATTATTGTTTAACCGTTGCTGGGGATTGCAGTTGCTGTATAAATATGGTTCTGAACACAGCCCATTAATTCTTGAATAAATAAATCAATTGAAGAGAATATATGGAGCACAGGGTTGAATTCTTGAAGTCCTCAGTGCTCTCTGAGCTTGGCTGTTTTCTTGCAGACGTTCCATGACCCAAATAGTTAACATTATCAGTGATAATAGGGAATGGGGTTTGCTCTCTCACCATGCTCTTGGTGGTTCCTCACCCCCCTACTGACACTGATGATATTGCCCAGTTGGGTAATGAAATGTCTGCAAGCTGATTACCGAGTTCAGTCCTCCTCCTCCTCCTCTTCCTCCTCCTCCTCCTCCTCCTCCTCCTCCCCTGCAAACCCCACTCTCTTTCTATCACTGATGATGTTGCCTAGTTGGATAATGAAACATCTACAAGCCGACAACCAAGCTCTCGCAACCAAGGACCCCACAAGTAGACCCATTTGTACAGGAGACATAAATCTACCTATCTCCACGATCAGTGGTAATATATTCTTGAATAATTAAAAAAATGGATAGTGTGAACTAATGAATGCAAGACCTGGTGAGCAATTGGCATGATCCAGCTGGATTATTTCCCTCCCGCGGCGATATTCTGCCTTTAAACCCAGAGACAGCGCTATTTTAAGTCCGTTAAATGTCCTATTTCAATTTTGTCTCCCTTCTGTTAAGGCCCGCAAGAGACTTGCAAGTCCACTTTACACATTCCCCTTCGCACCTCACAACCACTTCTCAACATCTGTTCCCTTGCAAACAAGATGTTCTTTCACTTTCCTGGCCCCGGTGCAACCTATGTTCCTGTGACAGTTGGGGGAAATCAAAACACCGCCAAACCTGATAATGAAACAAACCTCTTTGCACTTGTAAAGTTTGCACATAATTAATCGGTGTGCAAGATGGAGCAGTTGCATTCTGCATTCCATTTTCAAGCAGGAACAAAGTAACAACAACAAGAACAACAGCCACAACAACTTAGAAGAACGCCATCTAAACAGGGCGGAAACTTTATCATGTTCCGCACCAAAAATTCACCAATAGTATCCTTGAGTTCGGGATGTGCTTCCCACACATTAAGCTGTACCCAAACAAAAGATAAATTCTTTATGGGAAGCGCACACAGAACACACTAAGCCCTAGTTAGTTCTAACATGATTTATTAAATACAGGTAGTCCTCAACTGTTTTTCACAGTAAGTAAGTGAGTGAGGAAGGAAGGAAGGAAGGAAGGAAGGAGAGGCAGAGGAGGAGGGAAGAGGAGGAGAAGAAATGGAAGAGGAGGAGAAATGGAAGATGAGGGAAAGGAGAAGAAGAGGAGGAGGAGGAGGGAGGGAGGGTGGGCGGAATGAAGGAAGGAAGGAAGGAAGGAAGGAAGGAATAGTTTCAACCAGAAAGCTTAATGCAGATCAGTCCATTGCAAATAAATGTCCCTATATCTTTCCATAAACCATGACTGACTTTAGAAAGCTGGCTAAACAAACTGAATATATGACTCTGTTCGGCAACTGGAGGGGGGGCGCTGGGTCAGGCCCAAAGACTGACTTGGACATTCCCTGTCCAAACAGAAGCTGTTCAACCTCAACAATTTAACAGGCCTTGAACCAATCTACCCAAATATCCACACCAATGCAGCATGCATTGTGCACTGAAACCACCTCTCAACTTAGAGACTGTTAATAAACAGTAGGAATCCATTGCACCAAAATCCAAAGGCAGCTTTGAAAGCACATTATTTGAACTAGAGACAGGATCAAAGCAGAGTTTTAGACTTCAGACAGCAAGGCTGACCTTCTAAGTTTCTCCTCCAGCAGATGGGGGACCCAGAGATCGAATGAGGAAAGTGTCTTCAAGGCAAATCCCTCATCAATCAAACTCCCACTGCCTTCTCTTTTCCAACCCAACCATTAACCTGCTCCTTCTCCCTCTGTGACAAGCTGAAAATTGTTGTTTCTCTCCCTGTTCAAAATGGAAGGGGACAGAGAGCCGCAGCAGGGTGCAGAGGTGGAAAACAGGCAATTCTGACAGAGGCCTGGCCTCTCCAAACAAAGGCATCTTTCTTGAAACAGATCTGTTCTAGTTGAAAGAGGAATTGTAGACCTGGGTCAGTTTGGTTGCAAACAATGTTGCTTAGTGTTTCCCGTAAGTTTGTAAGCAAAGTCATAATATGAGAGGTTCAGGAATAAAATAGAATAGAATGGAGTGGAGTGGAGTGGAGTGGAGTGGAGTGGAGTAGAGTAGAGTAGAGTAGAGTAGAGTAGAGTAGAGTAGAGTAGAGTAGAGTAGAATATGGCATAGCCAATGGCATAACCAATGGCATAGCATAGCATAGCATAGCATGGCATGGCATGGCATGGCATGGCATGGCATAGCATAGCATAGCATAGAATGGAACAGCCAATGGAATAGCCAGGAATGGAATGGAATGGAATGGAATAAGAGAAGGGAAGGGAAGGGAAGGGAAGGGAAGGGAAGGGAAGGGAAGAGAAGAGAAGAGAAGAGAAGAGAAGAGAAGAGAAGAGAAGAGAAGAGAAGAGAAGAGAAGAGAAGAGAAGAGAAGAGAAGAGAAGAGAAGAGAAGAGAAGGGAAGGGAAGGGAAGGGTTGGAAGGAACCTTAGAGGTCTTCTAATCCAACCTCCTGCTCAGCAGGAAACCCAATACCATCTCAGACAAATGGCTGTCCAATCTCTTCTTAAAAACCTCCAGTGTTGGAGCACCAACTACTTCTAGAGGCAAAAGCTGTCCCATTGATTGATTGTTCTAACTGTAAGGAAGTTTAGTTCTAGGTTGCTTCTCTCCTTGATTAGTTTCCATCTGTTGCTTCTTGCCTTGCCTTTGGATGCTTTGGAGAGTAGCTTGACTCCCTCTTCTTCATGGCAACCCTTTAGATATTGAAACACTGCTATCATATCACCCCTGAGATGATAGCAGGGTCCCTAGGATATTGGACTAAAAGACCTCCAAGGACCCTTCCCCCCTAAGAGTCCTTGAATCCAGGTCTTCACACCTCACAAATGTTGGAGAACTACAGCTCCCTCCATTCATGGGTCAGCCAGCCCATCAGAGTGGGAATGAGGGAAGACCAACTTCTGGAGAGTCCTCCCTAGCTTAACCACACTGCAAATTTAAGTGTTCTATATAACAAACAACTTTTCAAAAACGAATGAAGAGAATACAGTAGCTTGTGTATCTTTATCAGGATGTCAGGATCCTAGCAATAATCTGACAATACCAAAGGCATAAACATTCAACTCGGGCTCTTTTGTGCAGCCCACAATATCCAACTCCATGTGCCATTGTTACTAAGGAAACAACCCCACCGGACTTAAAAGACCTGGGATCGAATGGGTCTGAGATATTTTTTTTCTCTTTAAAGAAGATTAATCTCGCCAAAGTTTTATAGGTGACCTCCAATGTTTTTATTACTCACCATGTTTGGCATTGCTGAACGGAGTTTAATAATATCTAGAAGACCAAAGTTCCTAATCTCTGATTTGCCCAGAAATGAGGTCGAGGATTAAAAGTATATTGTACAGGTTTCGTTGTTTGTCTTGCTCATCCATGACCTTTCAGGTGAAATTGTCTTCTTTCCCATATGGCCCTAACCTAGAAGGACTAAGGGTGACATGAGAGAAGTATTCCA